AACTGACCTCGATTGACCTCTAACCTTTTCTTTCCTAGAAAAAGCTCAGAGATAGGGGGATTAATTTTTCCTCCATAAAGACTGCTCCTCATTTGAAACAGTCTTTATAGACCTTTAAACTTGCTTTCTGAAAGGTAGGTCGGTTTAATGTCTGCAATTTCAAAGAACGACATACACCTGTTTCCCAGATATGTCAATTGTTTTCACTTCACAGAAAAAAAACTTTTTTTATGCTTATACTAAGACGCCCTTTTACCTATTCGGTCTTAACTTTAAACGCTCTAAATGTTATTCTACATTTCCTTGGTGGACACTGGTTGGAGTACGACAAGCTAAATTTTGAGCTTGTTGTCTTGTAAATTCATCTTTTATTTTGCTGTTCAATTTACAACTCACTGTGATCTCATTACATGTGGATGAGTCATTCAACTTATTTTCTCTGCTGTTATTCCCACCTGCGTGCAGGATGTCAGAGCCGCAGACCCTCTTTTCCCACCATCTGGATTCAAGATGAGTCGTCTTCAGTCAGCTATTCATCCTATTTTTTTTTCTCCTATTCCAAAGCATTCCTTTTCATGTCCTTAGAGCCTACATAAATATATTCAATGCTACAACCATAGAACTGACCTTCTCAATGACTAATGTTGCCATTAATTAAAATTTCAAAGAACAAACAACTCCTAAAATTAAAACCAAAATATTTTCAAAGGTAGTATTTAATTTTTAAATCATTAGTTTTTAAAGCCATTCAATATGACCTTATCTGGTGAGATATTTTTATTTTTTTAAATAATCTTATTTGCATCAGAACAATACTAGGACAAAAAGGAACAGGAAAAGGTCAATGTATTCTATCTATCTATCTATCTATCCATCCATCCATCCATCCATCCATCCATCCATCTATTTTACCTGGGATCGGTCTGTGTTTGTTGTTCCCTGACGTTTATCCTTCTCACACAGCAAGATCCTTTTTTCACATTAACCTTAATGTTAATAAGGTTAACAGGAAAAACAGTTACAATCTAAACATAGCTGAAAAAAAACTCTTATCCTAAGTGACTCCCATGTATGCGTACTAGTACTAGATGTTTCTATCCCCGATAATCGATACCCATTACTTACCTCAACAGCAGTTTTCTGGTAATCAAAACACGAGTGAGGTAAAGGTTTGTAAAGGTTGGATGTGTCCTCTTGGGGTGGTGGTCCGGCGGTGTTATGCTTCCATGTTGACTGTGTTTGAAGCAGAAGGAAAGGTAAGATACATCATCGGTTGTGCACCACAGGGTGTTTCGGCCTTTTATCACAATACACCCTCACTCAAGGCTGGCCCACCGCAGGCTGATCAGACCTGGGTGTGTGTCTCACTGGAGGCTCCATTAGCAGCCCATACCGTGTTGTTCCTGGCTGCTTCTTATGGTAGCATCTGAAAGCCCCTCGATGGCGTTCCTCTGACCCTGTCCTGTAACTCTAACCTCCTTCAGTAGCCTTATGGTGGAATTTGCTACAAAGCCCCTCCACTGGGCGCATGAAAACTTTCCAGCCCCGGTCCTCTGCTTCGGCTGCCAGGTTGGCATAGCGCAGTTTCTTTCTTTTCATATGCCTCATCAACAGATTCCTCCCATGGGATGGTCAACTCAACAATGAAGACACATCTGGGGGTTTTTAACCAGAGGACCAGGTCTGGCCGCAGGTTGGTTGCAGCAATTTCCGATGGGAAAATAAGCCTCTGCCCTAAGTCAGTCTGCATTTCCCAGTCTTGAGTTACATTAAGCGAGGATGTGTCCGAAGCTTACCGTGTGGTTATTTACTTCTCCCCTTCTCAAACGAATGATGTTGTTTGCTGAAGGGTTAACCTTGCTTCTACAGGCAGGTGCCACAAAGCACATCAGCACTGCCAGCATTCGGCTGGGGTTGCCTTCTGGCATGTGGGTGTTGTTGCTCCCAATCCCAGGCCCCCTCTGCCATTTTGAACTTGGCCCACTATGTCAAGTCGTCTTCAGTCAGCTATTCATCCTATTTTTTTTTCTCCTATTCCAAAGCATTCCTTTTCATGTCCTTAGAGCCTACATAAATATATTCAATGCTACAACCATAGAACTGACCTTCTCAATGACTAATGTTGCCATTAATTAAAATTTCAAAGAACAAACAACTCCTAAAATTAAAACCAAAATATTTTCAAAGGTAGTATTTAATTTTTAAATCATTAGTTTTTAAAGCCATTCAATATGACCTTATCTGGTGAGATATTTTTATTTTTTTAAATGATCTTATTTGCATCAGAACAATACTAGGACAAAAAGGAACAGGAAAAGGTCAATGTATTCTATCTATCCATCCATCCATCCATCCATCCATCCATCTATTTTACCTGGGATCGGTCTGTGTTTGTTGTTCCCTGACGTTTATCCTTCTCACACAGCAAGATCCTTTTTTCACATTAACCTTAATGTTAATAAGGTTAACAGGAAAAACAGTTACAATCTAAACATAGCTGAAAAAAAACTCTTATCCTAAGTGACTCCCATGTATGCGTACTAGTACTAGATGTTTCTATCCCCGATAATCGATACCCATTACTTACCTCAACAGCAGTTTTCTGGTAATCAAAACACGAGTGAGGTAAAGGTTTGTAAAGGTTGGATGTGTCCTCTTGGGGTGGTGGTCCGGCGGTGTTATGCTTCCATGTTGACTGTGTTTGAAGCAGAAGGAAAGGTAAGATACATCATCGGTTGTGCACCACAGGGTGTTTCGGCCTTTTATCACAATACACCCTCACTCAAGGCTGGCCCACCGCAGGCTGATCAGACCTGGGTGTGTGTCTCACTGGAGGCTCCATTAGCAGCCCATACCGTGTTGTTCCTGGCTGCTTCTTATGGTAGCATCTGAAAGCCCCTCGATGGCGTTCCTCTGACCCTGTCCTGTAACTCTAACCTCCTTCAGTAGCCTTATGGTGGAATTTGCTACAAAGCCCCTCCACTGGGCGCATGAAAACTTTCCAGCCCCGGTCCTCTGCTTCGGCTGCCAGGTTGGCATAGCGCAGTTTCTTTCTTTTCATATGCCTCATCAACAGATTCCTCCCATGGGATGGTCAACTCAACAATGAAGACACATCTGGGGGTTTTTAACCAGAGGACCAGGTCTGGCCGCAGGTTGGTTGCAGCAATTTCCGATGGGAAAATAAACCTCTGCCTTAAGTCAGTCTGCATTTCCCAGTCTTGAGTTACATTAAGCGAGGATGTGTCCGAAGCTTACCGTTTGGTTATTTACTTCTCCCCTTCTCAAACGAATGATGTTGTTTGCTGAAGGGTTAACCTTGCTTCTACAGGCAGGTGCCACAAAGCACATCAGCACTGCCAGCATTCGGCTGGGGTTGCCTTCTGGCATGTGGGTGTTGTTGCTCCCAATCCCAGGCCCCCTCTGCCATTTTGAACTTGGCCCACTATGTCACGATGTCTCAGGGTGTTCTTTGCCTGTGTGAATGCAGTGCCTGGTCTCCAACTCCTTCCCATTGCTAAGGTGGGGGCAGCACTTCTTACAAAGGCTTGCTTTGGAACATCTGCATTCTTCCACAGACTTGAGCTTGGGAAAAAGAGTGCTCCTTTGCCATACAGGCCTATGCTACTCAGGCATCTTGGTAGTCCAAGCCACTTCCTTACCTGTGCATTAAGACAACACACACAACACAATGAACAACTTACACCAAAGTTTGTGTTCGGAGACAAATGCCGTTCCTGTGCCCAATTATCATTGGTATTTATGTATCTTGCAGAATCTTCTTTAATAGTAAACACATGCTCTCTGTCTCTGCAAATAACTTTAAATGTTGAAAACTTGTTTCTTTACTGTGCTGGACCATATGTTAGTGATTTTTCTTTTTTTTTTCGCAAAGTTTGCAAAGAATGTAAAAGAGTTCCTGGTCCATTTCTCACATATGTTATACACACGCTACCATCGCCCCTCTAAGTAAGCCCAAAATAGTGACACAAAGAGCCTAATCAGAAGCCAGTGTTGGCTATGATCCCATCCCACCCCCAGACCTCAAGCATGTGGGTCCATGACAGTCCATGACATACAAGCAGTTTTGGGGGGCAAACGAGTGGTATTGTGAGCTGAACGAAGCCTCAGTGACGCAGAGAGTCAGGCTATCCTGGTGGCCTCTCTCTGGGGCCTCACAGAGCCACGTGTTTGCTGAACTGATGATAAAAGTGGGTCAGGGTTAGGGTTAGGGTTAGTTTGTGTACAGGGAGTGAAAAATGGAACAGTGGATTTTGTTCATACAGGATTGATATAAATCTTCTCCATGTCTTTTTTTTGTCCATGGTTTGAAAATCTTTGACATCTTTTTGCTTTTAAACCAAAAAGTCAGCGAAAATTTTCCAAGAAGATTCTTTCTGAAATAATCGAAGAAGAAGCAATGGCTCTATTAACCATTGGGAGGCAGTGTTTAAATGCTCATTAACAGTGATCCAAGCATCCATTTTGCCTCCTTTCCCCTACAGCTCTTAAAGCTGTAAAATGATTGCCAGCCACAGAGGCAGAGCAGCAACTTATTCTGCTATTTACGTGGCCACTTTAAACAGAAAGAGCTTTTTAACAAATTGCCATAATCTGAAACAAAACAAAAACCCACCAAATAAAACACCATAATAAAAATAAAACAAATATCTAAAGAACATATGTAAAGAATTGGGGACATTCAAACTCTTCTTGAAATTTCTAATCTAATGAAAAATGAGGAGTACCATTTATGTTTGAACGTAGATTTCAGTCACAACTAATCACATCCTAAAATACACAGACCAAGTAGAAGAAGCTCAACATGTGTGATCACACTTCACATGTGACTTGGCTAGGCACCAAAGCATCATTTGGTCAACCGCTCTGTTCTTCACCGACACTGAACAGGCTTTGTGTTTATCCCCCCACACACGACCCCAGCAGGGATTTTAATAACATAAAAAAAGAATAGGGGCAGCAGGGCAAAGAATCACACCTTTTGTTTGGTAAATACTTTATATGCAACAGTTTCTTTATCTTTCCAAACACTGTATAGAAAACACTTAACATGTTTTAAACACTTAAAGCGCTTCTGATGCACGAGACAGATGTGACAGTATTCTACAGCTTTTATAAACATCCCTACACATCTTCTCTGCATACACAACTGCTACGCACACACATGCGTGCAAGCTCACATAACCACAGGTGTCAAACACCTCACTCATTATTCACAGTAGGCTTCATAACACTGTTTCTGTATCATATGGTGTCCTCAATGTATTTTTTCTAATTGTTAAAATGGCTATCAACACTTATATTGTATTATCTGGAAAGTGTACTTTTTATTTTGTATTTACATAAGCTTATTGAGCAAAATTTAATACAATGTGTGTACATATGTATAATTGTATGAAGGTGGACAGACCGTGTGTATAGAGCAGAGGAAAAATAGATTTTTCATCAAACTCATCAAAGTGTTTCTGCTGAGTCCAGGCTTTCATACATTTCAGATAAAAAATGGGAAGGTAGTGCAAGATTTTGCATTTTTTTTGTTCCATGATGGCACCCTCAGGAGACAACACTCACAGACATTACTAGACCTTAACCCCCTCTGTGGTTGCCTGTGAGAACACCAGGAGACAACTGTTGGATGCATATGACTGAATATGTGAGGTCTGAGGTGATCATCATAGGTTTGGCAGTATCCAAAAGGTGTTACTGTTTTCCTCAAACTGTGCACCAAACTTTGCGACTGGCACTTTTGAAACTCGTACTTTGTATTTTATTTTCTTTGTTACAAAGAAACAAAATCATGCCAAAGGGGTCACAGTGGCATGTTTGTTTTTTCTTTTTTTATGACCTCTTCTGTGCATCACAGACATATGCTGGGTTCATAAGGAGTCTGTCCCTCTGTCATCTTCTCCCGTACCTCAATTGTCACGCTCAGAGATGCAAATACTTGTGTCATTCATATACACAAAGTACAGAGGTAAGCAGTAACCTCAGTCATAAACACAGTTGGGAACATACAATACAAAGTACAGTGTGATACAAACACGGAGGGCATGTGTACACACAGTTGCAGGGGGTGATGGAGGTGGGAAGAGTGTCGGTGAAAAATCCAACTAATAAAAGATAAAAGTGAGGCACACAATCTTGACAGGCATAGTTATGCTTGGATTTTGCTATATTTAAAAACAGGAGCCATGTGGAGTTGATATAGGTTTTTTTATGACAAAAAGGCTTAAAGAACTGGAAAAGAAACTTTTCTTTCTCTAGTAGAATCATCTAGCACATTGAACATACCCAGGAACTGTGGGAATCAAATAAAGAGAGGCAGAGCTAAAAGCTCTACCTCCATTATTCACTAAGGTATGGTGGTGATGAGTTCTACTCCAGAACCCTCAGCTGTTCTGTCTAACACATTGTTTTTAACCAAGGTATTGTAACAGATGATTAACATTAAGACACAATAATCTCCAACTACAATAAACTCCTTGTTGGGAAGAGGTCTGTTGCTGCTGGATCTTTACATGGCAAGAACAGCCATGTGGGTCCATGGCCGTTCGATATACAGGCAGTTTTCGGTTTCGATAGCAATGGACTGGGATTGAACTCATTTGATGGTCAAGAAAAGATTCCTTGAGGATGTTCAACGAGAGACCCCACTGGATCTCTCTTCTGAATTCTTTAACTGTCGAAGATCCTATTTTACAGTTTTTAAAAGCTACCATATCATCGTGGATGAGTTAGCTCACAGGAACACTTGGTGATATTCCAAATTGATTGCAGAAAGAAAGTTAGGAGGAGTTAGGGGAAAATTATGGAAAATAATTGATCTGTCCACCCTTCTAGTCACCCATCACTTTGGCTTTGTTTGGGGTTTCTATTCAACCATCCTCTGGGGTCAAGTCATCGGGGGTGGACGAGTCCTCGGCAAAGTCATCCGACAAACCCCTCTTGTGAATACGGCCATCACTGCGCATGCTGTGGAAAGTCTTGCGGAAAGCTTCCATCATGGAGTGTGCCAGCTTTTTGGCATCCAGCTTACTCTCACACTCCACGGCGTGGCAGTCCATCTGGAATGACAGATCGTCATTGATCTCCCTGTAGATCCAGGCAAATATGTTGGACCTAACCCTGTGGTCTGCTGTGCAATAGGCGATCCGGGCCACCTGGTAGGTGCTCATGGATACTGGAGCATCGCTGTGCACGTCCAGGTGGTGAAGGCGCACCTGGAAGGGTCGGATCTCCAGCAGAGAGTTGCCTGTGGTGCAGGTGTCCTGACGCTTTGCCAGGGCGCGACGTTCCACCAGACCTACAACTGCTGATTCTGTGCAGCCAGACAGGAACTGGGTTCCAGAGATAGTAACCTTACCAAGGTAAGTAACCTGCAGAGAATAAAATACATACTGGGATTAGAACAAATGTGCAATAGTAACAGTTATGAGAATAATAAGTAAAGTATGTGTTTGGTATTTTAGAGAAAGCTATAACAACCAGAAGGAAACTGAAAAAAGAGGGAGTTAATCTTTGTTTGTTTCCACTGACAAAACAAATGGATCCATTCAAATGGATACTTGCAACACACAAAACAATAAACTACGGAATAAAACTGAGCAAAACATTGTGTGAAAAAAAACCCCAAATCTAAATTAATCACAGGTAGGAAAGTAAGATGCACTGAATGAAAAGTACCAAAAAGTCAATGGAGCAGACTAAAATACTATATTAATAATATGAGAGAGAACTAATTAATGTGCCAGTCAATCCATCCATTAAAATGCAAACTAAATTATGAATACATGTCAGAGTAACAGTATAACAACAAATAATATAATGGGTAATAAACTGCAGCCAGAAAGAGTAAAAAAGTGAACACATCTGGAAATTTTAGTGGGACAGTGGCCAACTTCAAGAAAACTGATCCAGGAATAATGACTGACTTGTATATTTTCCTAATTATACATAGGAAGAGATTGGACTGCTGAATCTCTGAGTCAAACACTCAAAAACTTTCATTCCTGGGGCAGGAAAATACTGCGCACTCCTCAGAGTTCATAACTGCTGGCTTAGACACTGCTAACTTTTACACATACATTTATCTTGACTGCAGCTATATGTTTAAATGGAGCCATAATAGAATAAAATAGAATAGTCTTTATTGTCAGTATTAAATAAATAAGTCATTATTTTCAAGATTAGAGTTCAAAAATGGAAATGAAAAAAGCACATGAACTTTGGGGTTATTTTAAAACAATAAAGAACAACAACTGCTTTCAAAGGAAACAAGGTTGAGGCTGCCTTCCAGTGCATAGATTTTATTACAACTGACCACAGGGTGGGACGCATCGACTCACCACTGGAACTATAATTCAGCTGACTAAAACAGGTCCGCAGCGCAACGAGGTGGCCTGAGCAGTTTACTATAGTCAACTGCACTGACACCCTTCGTCAGCCAAAAAGCAGTTAATTCGGTCAGCCAGCAAAAATGTGTCCGAGCCAGTTACCAAATCTGTGACTGTATCTACTGATTTCCTGCTTCCTGAATGAATAATGGGCGACAGTGTTGCAAGGTTTAATTTTCTTGCAGGAGCTGGTAGTGGGCCATGGTTTTCTCTCTGACCCTGTGTGTGTGTTGGCTAGGTCACAAGATAGGACTTATGTAACACTTTGCTTCTTTAATCTACCAAACAAACAGCTGGAGAGGAAATTGTTACAATGTTTTATCAATGAAGGATGCAAGATGCAAGCAACGCATTTGGAGGTTTAACATTTTAAGCTCCATGTTCATAAACACATACAATGTTCATGTTTCTTTTTTGTATTAGCTTAGAGCACATCTCCAACTTAAGGCTCATGAGCTAAATCAGGCCTGCAACATTATTTTATGTGGCCTGCCATGGCTTAACATGCTTTAGGTTGTCTTTCAAAAAATCCTGCAAGTCTAAACCAAAGTTTACAGTTTTGCAAATTGCAAGTCTAAACCAAAGTTTACAGTTTGGGTTAAAAAGTGGTCAAATTCTGTGGGTGAATAATTATTGTGCATGGCAAGTGATTCATAATTTGCAACGTAATCAAGCATACATTTACCAAAAACCCCATCTCTGACAATGCACGTTTAATGTCAAGACTTTCTGGCATCCTGGTGAATGGAAATATCAACAATTAAACCCATAGGAAACACACTTAACTAATAAAGTTTGAATTGAGACACCTTATATTGTTTTTTGTGTCATTTAAATATCTTACTTAATGTCTATGAAGATTCTCAGTCATCCAGGTCATGGTCAAGTTAAAAAAAAGTTCTAAAGGACAGGACTCCGCCGTTTACATACACCTCAAAGACAAAACACACTCCTTTGAGGACAACAATGTACATATTTTGGCCAGGGAAGACAGATGGTTTGAGAGAGGGGTAAAAGAAGCCATTTTTGTCAACCTGGAAAAACCATCACTCAACAGAGGAGGTGGACTCAGACACAACCTATCACCCATTTACAAAGCACTTTTAGGAACAATACCCAAAGGTTTCACCCCAGTTTCACATAACAAAGAGGCAGGGGACCTAAACCGTTCTGATGGGGACCACAACGACCCATCAGACTCTTAACGACACACTGAAACAGACGTGTGGGCTGAGTATTACACCAGTGTACGTGTAAAGTACACTACGGAATCAAGTGTCTACGTACGGGCCAATTCTCTTCCCTCTCTTCCTCCCTCCCTCCCTCCTCCTCCTCCACACATGCCGCTATTAGCGCTATTTTTTTTTTCGAACAAACAAAAACATAATAAAACAAAAAGGGCTTTACAGGTTTAAGTAGATTGGAGCAGACCCATTGAGTACCTTGTAGGCTATCATAAGTGATTTGGATTTGATGCGGGCAGCTATGTGTAGCCAGTGTAGCTCAGTGTCCCCTTTTAGGCTAATTGAAAACCAGATGCACCACTGTGTTCTGGACCATTTGTAGGGGTTTTGTAGCATAGGCTTGGAGGCCTTTAGAAGGGTGTCGTATTATTCGAGGTAGGAGATGACAATGGTTTGTACCAGAAGCTGGTTAGCCTGTTGGGTTAGGTATGCCCCATGCTTTCTTATAGTGAAAAGTATAAAGGAACACGACCGGGCAACAGAGGCAACGTGATCAGCTGTCCTTTCAGCTAATCATTAACAATGATACCCAAGTTTCTTGCTATTTCAGTAGGGGGCAAGAGATAATGAGTCAGTTTTGATGGAGATGTCATCAAGAAAGGGAATATTTTCATGTTTGTGTGACTGTGTTTTTGCTGAATACCTATAGTGGGCTCCATAAAACACAGACCTGGTATTTGTTGTGAACGCCTGCAGCCTACACTAATCCTATTGTTTTCCCCTTAAACTTCTTAAGGTAAAACGATTGGTAACCCACAATGAATGGCCTTCAGCATTCACCTGGATTCTTAGTAGACAACAAGGAACACTAGACTGAGCTATGTGTGTCATTAAATGCAAATAAAAAATGCTTTGCTCTGACGTTTGTCTCTCTCAGAAACAGAGCGCTTCATAATTGCACTTTTAAACTTTAAAACATTTACATGTAACATCAGAAAATTTGGTAGGTAGAGTACAGTAAAAGTATTCCCAAAAGGACAATAGAATATTAGGAACTTGAATGAATCAGAACATCATGTCTTTCAATAGACTTACTGTTGCCTTACCCTTTGACCTGTAAACCCCTGCTAAAATGAGTAAACCAATGTAAGCTTTCAAAAAGGGTGTCATCGATGTCTTGCCATGTGTCCCCATATACACACTTCCACTCTAAGTTGGTCATGCCCAGTATGTGCTTTTCTACTGACAATGTAATGAAAAGCTCAAATGTTGTTTTTTTAGACAATTTTGTTCAACAGTTGTTTGTGTCATCAGAATTAGCAATGTTAAGTTAGGGCCCTAGACATAGGAAAGCCCTCTAAAGTATACAAAAGTGTGTGTTATGATGACCTTAATGTAATCTAAAGCAAATAAGGCACATGTGAAAATGATTATACAATAATGCAACATGTTCTTAAATGTTTTATACAGCTAAATCGGTTTGGGTTCAAATTGACCCCAAGGAACACAGATGTATACAACATGCATACAGGACGTCAAAAAAAAAAAATTATGATATTAAATTTAAGTTTACCCAGTTCCCCTCACTTAATTAGGAAAAGTCACAAAAGATTAAGCAAAGAAATGTGTACTTTGTGAATTTTGAGATGTTAAACATTGAATGGGGTCAAATTGACCCCCAAGGAGGGTTAAAATACACTCTAACCCAGCAGTTCAATTCATAGTTACAAAATAAAATGTTGCTGCTATTTTTGAGCTCAAGGGATAACAAAATGAGCATATGCTACAAATCCAATGACTTTCAGTGACTACTTTTAGTGGGCTGCTTTGGCTTCCAGTGTCAGAAGACTATATGTCTGAGTTAGAGAGGTTTCTTTGCCCAACACAGTAAAGATATTAGAGACCCTGTGGATGGATCGATTATTATGATTAGTGCCAGGTTATTAGTGTTGCCAACTATCCCTTGACAAACAGAATCTGGAATAATGTTTTTGCCAATATCACCCAATGCTTGTGTGAATAGATATTTTTTGCAATGAACACCCATTGCCTCAAAGGGGCACATGTCTATAAATCCTAATGAGGCAGAGCCCATTTTTAAGGTTTTGGGTTAAATGAGGGTGAACTGACATTAGGGTTCATGTTAGTGTTAACAATTAGGGGGTTGTGGTTAAGGGTTGTAGGGTCTTACTATGACTTTCCTAACAAAAGTAACACTAAGTACTCAAATGCTTGTATGTGTCTGTGACACCAGGAAAGACTGTTTACCCCACTTTCACTTCACTTTATCATCTGAATTTCTTGAGTTTTGGGAAGTGGAGATTGAGAGTCAGCACTTTCAGCCATAAAGAGGCCTGGGAAATCATTGTTTAAAACATACAGTATTTACACAAAAATGTACACTTAGTCTAGGACTGTGTCAGGCAAGCTTATCTGAAACCTCACCTGTAAAATGAGCACATAAACATTACAGGGTCATATGTCCCTGTAATGTGTTTTTAAGTACTGATAACAACTTTAAGGTTGGTATGAAAAGTGAAAATGCCAATTAATGGCTTATAACTGCAATAGCATACCAATCAAACAACATTTAGGTCCTTATAACCTCACAGACAGCTGGAGTTGTCTTACATATGTCCACAGTTATCTGCTCGTAGCTTTTCATGCTTACTATACTTTGCAGTGAGACGTTAACCCTCCTGATACCCTCAGATTTTCAAACATCTATTATCCTTGAGGTCAATTTGACCCCAGCCATTTAAATCTAAAAAAAAATGATTATAAATCAAAATATTACACAACTTTTTGTGTCAGGTACTTCAGGTTCCTTTCTTGTTAACATAAAAAGCCCTTCCAATACAAGACCCCACCCACAAACAACCCATGTGTCCAAAACGCCTAATCCATGACTATACAAAAATAGGAAAATAGCCATTAAATCTCACTGATTGTTCTAAAACCGGAAATAAAGATATTGTTGCTACTTCAGTACCTTCATATCATATGTGCTTTTCTATTGACGATGTAATGAAAAGCTCAAATGTTGTTTTTATATTTTGGACAATTTTGTTCGACAGTTGTTTGTATCATCAAAATTATCAGTGTTAGGTTAGGGCCCTAGACATAGGAAAACCCTCTAAAGTATATAAAAGTGTGTGTAATCTAAAGCAAATAAGACATATGTGAAAATGATTATACAATAATGCAACATGTTCTTAAATGTTTTATACAGCTAAATCGGTTTGGGTTCAAATTGACCCCAAGGAACACGGATGTATACAACATGCATATAGGACATCAAAAAAATAAAAAAATAAATATGATGTTAAATTTAAGTTTACCCAGTTCCCCTCACCTAATTAGGAAAAGTCACCAAAGATTTAGCAAAAGCAATGTGTACTTGTGTGAATTGTGAGACGTTAAACATTGAGTGGGGTCAAATTGACCCCAAGGATAATAGGAGGGTTAAAATACACTCTAACCCAGCAGTTTAATTTAGAGTTACAAAATAAAATGTTGCTGCTATTTTTTAGCTCAAGGGACAACAAAATGAGCATATGCTACAAATCCAATGGTTTGTTGGTTAAGACTCTGCATCTCACACTTGACAGAGCCAGAGTTGAGGAAAACAAACACATTCATGCCAGAGCCCACACCACATGTGCTCTTCAAAACGTATTTTGTTGGTGTCACAAACGAGAATAAAAAACTTGTGTTCCAAAAGACAAAGTGGGAAAAAAATGTAGGACTATGCCTGAAATATGAGTTTATGGATTATGGAGGACATGGTTCAGATTTGCAGATTAGGAGACACACAAAGTCTTACCTTGTATCCAGCATAGGTTCTGCTCTTTGTGAGCGGCGTTGTGGAGCACAATTCGATAGCCTCAGGCTCATGAAAGATCACCGTGGGCATTGGTTCCTTCCTTAGCGTCAGCACATTGAGCTTTGTTTTCAGCATGGTCTGGAAGTGCTGATGGAGAAGGAAAAGTAACACATTTTACAAACATTGCATTTAGTAACCAACATACAGATACAGCCAACTACATTTTCCCATGCCGTGAGGAAACCTTCAATGACTTGAGTGTTCCTCCTCCAGGGTAACTGTGTTGTGAATTTAAATTTAAACTGAGACGTTCTGGGGTCATTATTGGGCATTTTTGAATATCTTTGATTTTGCATTGTATTCAGTGCAGACTTAAGGCCAAAGAAGCAGCATACACCTTTTTAACATTATCCTGGCTCAACCTTTTCTTTCAGTGAACGGGCAGTTTGATTACAGCTGCGCTCCTATTGTCACACAAATCACTCATCTCCTAACACAACCCCTGTCATAGCCTCAGGCTGCTCTTCCAAACTCTGATGTCAACCCCAGTTGCCTACCCCCATGCCTCCTCCTTACTCGCTTCCACACTCACACATGTTTTGCATGTGTCACAGTCAAAACATGATCTAGAAACAAAAGAACTGAGACTGACCATGTAGATCTTCATTTACAGTCTACAATAAATTATAATTCTACAAAACTGTTATACATATATGCGTCCGGAGGACACACAAATTGCATTCTGCTCGGGCATTTAAATTGTGCCCTGACTGACTGTGCAGAAAAGCCTGACAACAGCAGTTCAAAAGAAAAATATAAAATTGTTGACAAAAGAAAGCAAACCAGTTCAGCAGTTGCACTTAAAAAGCCATCATTTACATGCATATAATGTGAATGAGTGGTAGTGGCGTGGACAGTTCTATACAGTTCCCATTCAGGGCAGAGCTGTTAATTTTAAAAAAAAGTTATAAAAAATAATACATTTTTTGTTCCTTTCGGGGTAGGAAGCCCAAATACAGTACTGTCAAAATCACCATTATTGTTGTGACATAATCTTCAGTAGTTTTTATATATGAATAAAGTGACCATGACTATTCTTCTAAAGTTATGATAGGTCGCATGTCCTTTTATAACATATTTCCGACAAAGTGTGTTTCTTTAGTACATACTTTGGGGCCCCAAGATACAAGTTTAATCCGTTCCACAACAGCACTCGATTCACTCATATCTAGATTGCATTTTCCCCATTAAAAATAAATAAAAACTGTTACGACCCTTGTCTGAGTACATAGGTCGTGTGATTGTGTTTTCTGTCTCCTATCAGTGTATGTGAGTGTGTGGCACTGGCGCTCTTCCCCTTTTTTCCTTCATCATCCTTGAGCTAAGGCCTGCTGACACCTTGCCGTGTGCTCCATGTGGTTGACCAAATGTTATATTTGATTGCTTGTAATTAGTAACAAAATGGAGGAGTGAGAAGCCCTTGTTTTTGTTCAAAACATTTTCTCTGTTTTTTATTCTGAGGTTAGGTTAAAAACCTATTTTGTTTGTCAGGAACAGAGTTGAGCACAGCAACAGACTTGCTCAGGAACAGATTAGGAACAGCTACAACAAAATGCTCAACACAACACTGGCACAGACAATACAGCGCACACAAAGACAGCACAAGCACACAATGATCCCACAAGGTCAGAGTGAGGGAGAGAGGTATATATGCAGGGAGCACCAGGTGACACAAGTGAGGCTAATTGCAGACACACAGGTGAGTGTGATAACACAGATTACCACAGTTGACTTTGACATTGACTATATTGCAGTGTGGCATGTATTTGACCACTCCTATGATATGTTATGCAAAGTGGTGTATGTTCAGCGGCTTAGACTGACAAAAGCAAAGAGCAGAACATAATTACTTTTCCTTCCTGTGTACAAAGGAGGCATTGCAGCCAGTTATCACATAGGCTGCTTCGGGGTGGTACTCTTCGGATCATCATTGATTACGTCCATCAGGCAAATTAGCCAAACTTCTGTCACGAATCATAGGTACATTCTATGTGGTTGTATCTGTATATATGTAAGCCCTTGGACATTTGTTGGTTCTCTGTCAAAACTGCTGCAAGCTCAATAATCAGCAACCACCACAGTCCACAGGAAGACACTCTCAAAACTGCCATTGAAAGTGCATAGAACAGCAAAATCCAAGCACACATGGGCCGTGCATGCACACCGTTTAACCAATCAGAAGACAAACCTTTAGCCAACCAGAAGACACCAAGCTCCACTAACATTCCTTGCAGGAACAGTAAAAAAAAAAAAAATCAAATTGTACTATATTGATCCATTATTTGAGAAATTGTTGTTAGCTGCAGATATGCTGTTAACAGGCTGCTCCTAGCAAGCACCAAGCATGTGGTTCCTCTGGGAATTAAACCCATGACTCACTGCTCCCGAGGCGTGCGTGCTAAATGCTACACCATGGAACCGACTGATCCATTAGTCAGATGTCAGAGGAGTAAAGAGAATGGTGAAGGCCAAGGTTGAAAGTTGCACCAGTTGCAGCAACATCTAGAGATAACACCATCTACCTACATCACTAAAGAATAATAATAATTGTTCTTTACTTAAATTATTGAGTTTTTCTTCCATATTCTCTTTCTTAAAGGGTACCGCTACCACGATGAATTAATATTTTGTATTCTTTTATTTTTCTGAACGTACAAATGTCAAATGTTCAATTATGTTACAAACATGCACTTGTCTCCATTTGAACTTTGCAAATATGCCTCTAATATATATATAGGCATCTTGTCTTCAGGGAAAGTTACGTAATACAAGGAATTGATAAGAAACGCAACCCCGTGCCGCATCGGCTGATTCTGGGTTACCAAGGACGTTTAATAAAGAAAAAGATAACACACTGGAAATTATTTTTTCCCAATTTTATTTATTATCAGTTCTTTATTGGATAATTCTACCAGTGGTAGCAGTAGAAAAAGCTACTTGCATGGGTACAAGTTGGGTACCAAATTACCTGCACTGCTCTAATTTTACGCGCACAAACTGGTGCATGCACGTGGAAATTCGAGCCCTGTATTAGTTCACCAACTTCACAGGATGTGGTGCTTGAATTATAGCTCAACAAATGCGTGTCCCTGTTTCCTGAATTATAGCTCAACAAAAATGTGTCTCGGGAGCATTTTCCTTCTACACAACACACAGGTAAGATATTTGTGGTCTTCACTTTATTGCAAATTAGGCTTTATCACAGCACAATATGCTGCCAATGGTAGCAAAAGAAAATATACAACAATAGTGGCTAATCTACACAGCACATTATCATCTTTTAAAGGTTGGGTCAGCTGTCAAGTTGAGCACTTGTATCGAGTGCAGTTTATACTAAAAGACAGCCTTAAGAAGACTAATATGGAACTAAACTAAGTAAAATTTTGAAATATAATCCTTTAGGGAAACACAAATCAGGAGGAAATCAGCATAGAGTTGAGGGCACATATCTATCAAATTTACCCCCACCCATCCTCATACAGGCAAACTAGGGCAAAACATCTCAGTGGAGATAAGAGGGAGGAGCAAAAAGGTTGGTGTTGAACATGGTCTATTCTGCAAAAGAGGAATGTGAGAGGTAACTGAAAGAAACTTGCCTGTGCTATCTCAGTCAAAACAAGAGCAGAATGCTGCCTGCTCTCATACCTCAGTCTACGAAGTCAAAACCTGTTAAGTTCAAGGTATACCAAGTCGTCCAGTAGCAAATCTGCAGCAATTGGTGTATGCTGCGTCAACTCTGCTCTTTTGGCATCAATTAGTTATGAAAATAAATTAGTTTTAAGAATAGTTATATCAAGATCAGGAGTATGTTGTAGTGTGCTGAGAAGATGAAAGGAATACTTTGAGGAGTTGTTGAATGAGGAAAATGAAAGGGAAAGTAGAAACGAGGAACCAGAGACTATTAGGGAGAAGGTTGATCAGGTTAGAAAGGATGAAGTAAGAAAAGCCCTGAAGAGGATGAAGAGTGGAAAGTCAGTTGGTCCTGATGACATACCAGTGGAAGTATGGAAGTGTTTAGGAGAAGTGGCGGTACATTTCCTGACTGGGTTGTTTAACAGAATTTTAGAGACTGACAAGATGCCTGATGAGTGGAGGAAAAGTGTTCTGGTGCCAATTTATAAGAAGGGTGATGCACAGAGTTGTAACAACTACAGAGGGATAAAGTTGATGAGCCATACGATGAAGATTTTGGAAAGAGTAGTTGAAGCTAGGTTGAGGCAGGAAGTGGAGATTTGTGAACAACAGTAAGAGTAGTTGAAGCTACGTTGAGGCAGGAAGTGGAGATTTGTGAACAACAGTATGGTTTCATGCCTAGGAAGAGTACCACAGATGCAATATTTGCTTTGAGGATGCTGATGGAGAAGTACAGAGAAGGACAGAAGGAGGGAGGACATGCAGATAGTTGGAGTCAGAGTAGAAGATACAGAGAACAGGAAGAGATGGAAATCAATGATTCGCTGTGGCAACCCCTGAAAAAGAGACAAAGCCGAAAGAAAAAGAAGATATCAAGATCAGAACTAGCAAATTTACATTTCTAACAATTTTTTTTTATTTTTTATAAGCTTTCTTCTAGAATGTAGCAAGCCAAGCTTAAATGCTTGGTGGAAAATCTGAAATAGCTGTCCTTGCTGCAGGAAAACAATTTTTACATGGCCAATTCTTGTTCCTCACAAAATAACGTAAAGTCATTTTGTTTTTATGTACAACAAAAGCTCTTAAAAAAAGGAAACACCTCAACAAACTGCTGTTGTAAAACCACATTCTTCCTCTTCCTAATTCATAAAACAGCAATGTGAGTTGGCCTTGGCACTGCTTACGTCAGTGAGTGTGACAAGTTTTGGCTGCATATTTGTGTTGTATGTGAAGGGGTGTTGTTGTTTTTTCTTGAAGTTTGTAAGTTCTTGTTTTTTTCTGTAGTTCTTGTGTGATTACAAGTCTCAAAGAACTTGTTATGGTGTGAAAAATCCTCAATGGGGTGATCACACCAAAAGCAATAAACGCAGATTGTAAACTTTACACATACACAATCAATGTAAATGGCATGACAACATCGATTTAATGTCAGGGGGCCCAATTGAAGCATCTTA